TCGTCAAATAAGTGAATATTCACTTAACTTAAGTGCCAATCGAGCCACTTTTTCAAGTCAGTGGCTCGGTTCTCACTTAAATAAGTGAATATTCACTTATTCATGTTTAGAGAGTGGGGTTAATCTATTAATTATGGGTCTGGAAATCTTCTGTATAGGGTCCTAGCAGATTCCCATGAGTTTTCTTCCTTAATCTCCGGAGAACATCGAGGATTGAATTTTTTAAAGTCGAAATTCAGTTAATTTAATTAAAAAATTCCCTTTTGTGGGGTTGTTACTCGGTGTCTATGGGGTGGATTTATCGATTATGGGTCTGGAAATCTTCCAAAGAGTCTCTTCTATGATATCTATGAGTTTTTTTTTATTAATCTTCAGTTGACACCGAGAATGGAATTTTTTTTTCGTCTCTGTATTTTTCTGTGCCTGCCGTTCGTCGAATCCGTGGGTTGCGTGCGCGCGACAGAGAGGTCCAACCGCTACTTGTTGTTTTTTGCGCTATCTCCGAAAATATTCATTTTATCAAAAACATGATAAGGACATTTTTTGTTGGTTTTTTAATTTTAAAACTTTTTTTTCAAATAAACTTCTCCATCAAATCAGTCCTTCTTGATTTATATCGTTATAAACAATTAAATTGTTATTAACAATTAAACTTACCATCGGCGACCAAAATAACCTAGTTTATCACGAACCTCGGCAAAAAATACGTAAATATCATTAATCAAAATCCGGGGACCTAAAAGTGCATACGGGATTCCCTCTTCAGCCGAGGGACTACGAATGGACACCGAGAATTGAATTTTTTAATGTCAAATTTGTGACAAATAAGTCAAAAAAAATCCTTTATGGGGCATTCACTTGGTGTACATTCACTTGGTGAATCTTATCTACAATTTTTGGAAGTTCCTTTTTTTAATCTCCAGTCGACACCGCGAAATAAATTTTTAAATGTCAAATTTTTGTCAAATAAGTTAAAAATCGCCCTTAATGAGGCTGTAACTCGGTGTCCATGGGGTTGATCAATTGATTGTGGGCTTAAGAATCTTTTGTAGGGTCCATTCTACGATTTCCATGAGTTTAAGTTCTTAATCTCGAGTGGACACCGAGAATTGAATTTTTAAATGTCAAATTTGTGACAAATAATTCAAAAAACGCCACTTGTGGGGCTGTTGCTCGGTGTCCATGAGGTTGATCGATCGATTATGGGTCCGGAAATCTTCTGTAGAGTCTACTCTATGATTTCCATAAGTTTCTTTTTTAATCTTCAGTGTTTACCAAGAATTGAACTTTTTTTCGTCTCTGTATTTTTCTCTGCCTGTCGTCCGTCGCTAGAGTCCGTTAGTTGTGTGCGCGCGACAGAGGTTCGACCGCTACTTGTTGTTTTTTGCGCTATCTCCGAAAATATTCATTTCATCAAAAAAATGATAAGGACATTTTTTGTTGGTTTTTCAATTTCAAAACTTTTTTTACAAATAAACTTCCTCGTCAAATCAATCGTTCCTGATTTATATTGTTTTAAACAATTAAATTGTTATTAACAATTAAACTTACCATCGGCGAGAAAAATTACCTAATAGTTTTTCGTGAATCCAGGGACCTAAAAGTGCATAGGGACCTAAAAGTGACTAGAAATATTTTATGAATTCATATTTTAACGATTAGAAATGATTAAAAATTTTTTGATCATTTTGAATCATTTTCAATCATGTTTTAATAATTAAAAATCATTTAAAATGATTAAAAAGTTTTAATCATTTTGAATCATTTTTAATTATTTTTTAACGATTAAAAATGATTTGAAATGATTAAAAATTTTTTAATCATTTCAAATCATTCTGTTTAATCAGGGAATGAAAATGTCACGGTCTAACCAAAATTTTCTTTTATCTTGTAAAAAGGTTTCTTTTCTCAGTACTGATGATTGTAACTTTTTATATCATTAAAACATGACAACAGTCTCTAGCATTTTTTTCTTCTGCTTTTTTTCTAACACTTATTTCGAAAAAATTGAAGAAAATAATCTTATTGATATATCTTCTTGATTCTATATATTAAAAGAAATAAAATACAGATTTAAAAAATATTACTTAATTGGATTTATGCTCTATTTATTATATTTGTTTCTTTATGACAATTAGTAAACACCTGCTGGAAATAATTGTCGCAGTTAAAAGTGTAACATGAATTTTGCTTAACGCGGTCAGTCTCCGACTTATTGTCACCAAAGTAGTAAGACAAAATACACTAAAAATATATCCCATTATATAAAATTTTCGTTATGTTAGAAAAACAAGTGATAGTTATTTTAACATTGTATTTATCAACAATTTTTATTAAAAATGCAGTGATAAGTGAGTGGATAGAACTTCCTCAATTTTCAGATAAAACGAAAATCTATCGTAAATCTACTATTAAATTTGATGTAATGAAAGTTAACAACTTATTGAATATTTCGAAGAATTTATTTTTCAATGTAACGAATCATACTAACTGTGATTCTGAAGGAATTTATGGTGATATACTATTGAAACCGTCCAAAGTATCAGTTCCAACCGATCTTGACCAATTAAATGATAGCGATAGATATAAAAATTATGAAAATTTGCCAATACACGAGGAGACATTAAATACAAATCAAAATTTTTCGAAAATTTCTGAAAACAATACAAATGAATTAGAAAATAAGCCTATTGATTCATCCACTCAATTATATATTATAACAAAATCTCCACTTTTTGATTTTACGGAAGAAAAGTCCAAATCTAATAAAAAGAAGCAATCATATTCTTACTATCTTTTGAATTATATTCCAATAAATCAATTGAAACGAGTTCATACAATTTTAATTGAGAATCTGGGAAAAACTCATAAAGAAAAACTGCAATTTTTACAATCGTTCAAAAACGACTTATCGAAAACAATTCGTTCGATGATTCCAGGTAAACGTATATTTATTATTCATTATTATTTTATATATAAATTCAAACATAGTATTATTCATTATTATTTTATATATAAATTCAAACATACTATTATTCATTATTATTTTATATATAAATTCAAACATATACTATTAACTATTGTATCTTTGAAATTTTTATCTATTTTTACATTTATATTATAATAATTTTTTTTACTTTTCCTCTAAAAAATCAATAACTCTGTTTTCAGTTGAATTTTATTCATTCATTCACTACTTTATTTTACTTTTTTATAAATTTTAATTTTTTATTATTTAATTATCACAAAAAAACTATTTCGGTCAGACTTTGATCATTAATGAGATACTTATGATCTAAAAATATATGTTTTAAATAAAGATTGATAAACAAAGTACACTATATGTCAGGATGATTTTAGCCGTTAACTATTTTTTTTTCACGCTCTAAATGATATGCTCACAATAGAAACAACTAAATTTCATACCATGTCTAATTTTGTTTTAATCATAAAAAATAAAAAGTAAATTCAATGTCATTTTCAAAGAAATTTTCTTATAATTCTAGAAGTTATTAATCGAAATGCTGATTCCCGTGCTCGAAAAAAACGAGGTTCAAGTTGGGATGAGCATGACAGTCATATTGGTTTCCCATCTCTTGAAGGAGCTCTCTTAGCTATATCATTTTTAACATTTGCAATTTATTTAATCCGCCTAATTATGGTAATAATAAAATACGTTTAGATCAATTTATACAGTTGTATGAGTAACGTGACAAATTAATCATATCGAACTTTTATTCTCGATTATTTTCCAGATGCTGATGAAGAATTTTGGCAATAATACTACTGGTAGCACGATACTTATCAACAGAAATAAGAGATTCATCACAGAATTAACCGAAGAAGCCGCTAGAATTCATGGTTATCTGCATGAATTTGATTCTCGTTTTCAATCGAGAAGAAATCGTTGAAAACAATTTTTTTTTGTTTGGACAGTTTCATTAAGTAATTTAAGACAAAAATGTTGAATATTTCCTAAACTTAAATTATTGAACTCTGAAATGTTAAATTTGTATAAAGCCCTTGTAGTAATTGAGTATTTACATTACAAATTATAAATTTTTTATTCTGTTTCCGCTTATAAGAAAATATTAATACTTGATCCAAATGATGTCAATGAGAACTAAGAAGTAAAATAAAAAATGTCACTTATTATGGATTGCCAGGTATTAATTCCCATAAACTTTGTAAAGAAATTCCCGGTCTTGGTTCTTCAGCTGCAAGCCCTAAATATGAATCAAGTTGAGGTTGATGTTGTTTTGTTCCGTCATCAGCAAAATATAAACCAAATACATTAGAAATTTCATCGTTGCTATCCTGTATTTCTTTAGTTACCTCTTCCTTTACTTCAGGTTCAATGACGCCCTAAAAATCAATTTGATTTTATTATTTAATGTTTAAATTAAATTGACCGCAAAAATGAAATTCAATCGATTAGCATACCTGGTACTCAAAAGTATATTCAACGCCAAAGATTGGACTTTTATCATAAGATGTTTTAAGAGTCTGAATTTCTTTATTAAGAGTATGTAATTTTTGTACTGGATCCACGCGGAATCCCAAAACGTAACCATTACTCGATTTTGTACTTATGATTACAAGGGTTGGTCCAAATTTAGAAGACTTAATAGATGCCTAAAATTTGATAAATTAAACAGTCTATATATTAATTATTATTTCAAATCAAAATACCATGCTGTGGCGTTTCACATGGTTTGGTTTCCCAAAATTCAAGTAATTTTCTTGTTGACAAAGATCGGAAGAAAATCAAATAAAGAGATTGTTAAAGTTAGAAGAATTAGAAAAACATGGAAAAAATATTTCTTAAGCAAAGCAAGTTTTTTTTTGTAAGTTTTTAAAAATAAATTAAAATTCTATTTACTATATTCTCCTTAAAAAGGAAATTTAATCAAATTACTTTATTTTACTCACACTTTCCATAGCTAAATACGGTAAGGAGACGTTAAACTGATGATTCATATCTGCAAACCATACTATTCGAATATTCGTCACTAAAAATGTTCCAACATTGCCCTAAAATATTTTCATTGTACTACTGACCATATTTTTTATGAAAGTAATAAATTTTATACTTGTTCCGTCGACAAATTCCAAACTCCAGGAGTCGAACTACTTATAATTTCTGATGGTAACGTTATAAGTGATTTGTTTTGAATAAAAGCTCCGCGTAATTTTATTTCACGATAAGTTTTTGTAGACATATATGCTCTAAAATTGATTAAAAATATTATTTGTACAATATCGAATTTAATTGATTAAAATAGGTTATTTCATTTAGTATCAAAAAACTGTTTACCTGAAAACTCCCGTAACTGACGTGTAGTGCCGGAAATTTTTTGTGTTCAAATTTGTAAAAATAAATTCATATTTGCAGTTTTTAAATGATGTTAGTAAGTACAAAGCTTGGGTAGTCATTCCTTGAATCTATAAATTATTTTCAAAAACAATAACTTTTTTATTAAATTTATAAATTCGCTTCCATTTTGAGTAATAATTTAACTCAATGAACATCATATTTACCACATTTACTATTTTAGTGGATGTGTTAATTATTGTATCATAACCAATACCTGAATAAAAATAAATCTCTAAGTGTGATTTCTAAATTATAAGTTTAAAAAAAACACTTACTCAGATTAATTCTAGGTAGCATTAGTGAATGCCATATGATTCGTAAATTGGTTACCATTAAGCGACCTTGATCACCAGCATTGCCCTTTGTATCTTCAATCATATCTAATTTGTCTATTAATATTTCGCCATCTCGTATTTGCAAATCCCTAAAATAAAAATTATCTTATCAAGGACAAATGATTTTAAAAGCTTTTAGGAGGGAGAAACCATTATCTTCTTTCTGCTAGAGGAGAAAAGCTCACAAAATATAAAAAATTTTGAAGTTAAATTTAAGGATAAGTAGTTTATTTTATTTGTTTATTTTTGTTTTTTTGAATGTTGAACCTTATCAATTTTTAAACTAAAAAAAAAACAAACAGTTTAGAAAGTAAGTAATAAAAACGTAAGAAAAATTAGTTTTCGATTTTTCATTTTTTTAACAATCTCAAAATTATTTGATCGACTAGCTCTACAAATATGTCAAGATTCTATTCATTTTACAACTATAGAAATATCATTTCTGGATTAGTAAGCTCGAATTTTCAAATACAAAACAAAATAAATAGAACTACTTTGTATTACTACATTAAATATAAATATGCACTCCTCCCGTGTAAAAATGACATAATGAGATCATGATGAGAGCATGATTATTAAAAACTTTGATTATTAAATTCATTATAATTTAATTAAGAATTTATTATGAGGTAAAAACTTCAAAAGTTTATCATGCGATCTTCACGAAATCTGTAAGAGTTCACCACAAAGATCCATATGAAATCGTTAAAAATTTACAGCAAGATCGTAATGAGATCTTTAAAATTTTACCACAAAATTGTCATGAGATCTTTAAAAGTTCACAGTGAGATCGTCATACTATAAAATCGTTGACTCATCATGATAGAAGCCTAATCTAATTATCAAAAAATCTATTACACGGAAAGAAAAATATGGGAACTATTCCCATAATTTTATGGGAACAGTTCCCAGGTAATTATAAGAACTATTCCCATGAATTATGGGAACTGTTCCCATAATTATAAGGAAATTTTCCCAGAATTATGGGAAAATTTCCCATAATTATGGGAATGGTTCCCATAATGGTATAATCATCCGGATAAAGCCGCGTTATATATATATATTAGGGTGGTCCTTAATATGGATGTTTCCGAATTTCTTTGCTCCCTGGGGCTGAAATGCTTCCAAATGAATAAAAAAAAATTGCCTGAAAATTTTAGCTCTTAATATTAACTTTAAGATTGTCCGCGCTCTGATCTAAGTTTCTCATAGAAATAACATGGAAAAAATTTTATTTGTGCTTTAGAATTCCATAACTCTGCCATAAATAAATCAAAAGTTATCAATTGTATCATATTTATTGTAAATTCAACGCTCTACAAAAAAGTTATCTTATGATTTTTCGCTAAATGTATTGGCTTAAGAGTTATTTGAGCTCAAAATTCAATTGATAGATAATTATTAATATTATCAAGTATAATTATCAAATGAATATTTATATTATAAAATATGTCAAATTTCTCTTAC